CTGCTCAGCGGGAAGCCTGCTTCTCCCTCTCCCACTCCCCCTGCTTGTGTTCCCTCTCTCGTTGTGTCTCTCTCTGTCAAATAAATAAATAAAAATCTTTAAAAATAAAATAAAATAAAATTCACAGACAACACCATAATGCTCTGTTGAAGATGATTCTTAAGGATTTCTGGGCAAAGAATTAGAAGTTCTGTAAACTTGCTCCTACCATGTCTATGCATCTTCAAACTCTAATAGGAGAAAAGTAAAGAATGTAAAAAACAATCCCAGAAAAACTGATAAAAATGATGAATGGTTTAGAAGCAGAATATAAAAGGTGTGTGTGTGTGTGTGTGTGTGTGTGTGTGTGTGTATGGTGAGGAGCACGGTGGGCATTCCCGTAGGTTAAAAATTGAGAAAAAAAATACTGGGGCACCTGGGTGGCTCAGTCGGTTAAGTGTCTGCCTTCAGCTCAAGTCATGATCCCAGGGTCCTTGGATCGAGCCCCACGTCGGGCTCCCTGCTCAGCGGTGAGTTTGCTTCTCCCTCTCCCTCTGCCCCTCCACATCCCCCCCCTCATGCTCTCTCTCTCTCAAATGAATAAATAAAATGTTTAAAAAAATTGAGAAAAATACTTGGTTATCTGGAAATATATGTGCAGGATAATTTTAACTAGTTTAGATTTTAGATTAAGAACAAAGACTGATAGGTTTAAGTTGAAGACAGTGCTTGTGCACAAGTGGGAGTTTCCACTGAAGAGTGACTTCAGCCTAAGACAAATTGGAGGTGAATTTCTGGCAGGTTATGGAGAGGAGACCAGATAAGCCCCCTCCAGCAATTTATGCCCCTGTGCTCTTCCCTGCCCAGAAAAAGGCTTGAAGGCAGTGGAAGGCACAAAGAGCTAAGGGTGCCCTCTGTTCCTGGGGACAGGGTCAGAGCTCCATATATTTTTGCTACTAAATTAAAAAAAAAAAAAATGAATGGAGGAAGGGACTCAGCAGCCTTGCAAACACAAACCCTCACCCCACAACCAAGCTGGGAAAGAATAAAAAATGTCCTGTCCTCTCAAGTTCCTTTAAGTACCATGTCCAGTGTTCACAAGAATACACGGATGCTGCCCTCCCATTAATGGGAGCAATCTCCCAAAACCCACGCTACTTGTGGAAAATGTAACTCTATAACTGAATTATTACATTTCCATGAAATGGCCAGAGAAAGAGAGTCTCTAGAGGTAGAAAGCAGATCAGTGGTGGCCCGGGGCTGGCAGTAAGGGTGGGGATTAACTGCAGAAGGGCAAAAGGGATCCTTTCAGGGTGATAAAAAATGTTCTAACCCTAGATTTTGGTAATGGTTGTACAACTCTGTGAATTTACTAAAAATCACTGAATCGTGTACTTAAAATGGGTGAACTGTATGATATGTAAATTATACAATAAACCTGTTAAAGATAAAAATGTGAAATAGAAAGGTAATTTCATAACCAAGTCTCTATTTCAAATCCTGCACCCAAAACACTTTTTTTTTTTTTTTGCCTGTACTTGGTTGCTTGAACAGAACAGCATCCCAGATCAGTTTTCCATGACCCCAGGGCACAGGCTTGCTGCCTCAGGCCAGAGAGCTCCATACAGCTCCTGCCAATGTAGGGGAGACTCCCACACTCACAGCACAACACACCCTGTCCTTCCCAGGCTCCTGGGGCCATGAAGGCTGGGACACAGGCACGAAGCCCCAAAGGGGGCTGCTACACACAGGCCGCTTGGGGCTCAGGAATGCTGCTTCTTGTAGCTGAAAATAGCCTCAGCCCTCAAAACAATCTGCAGTACCATATTCTTGTATACTGATGACTGCTGGAGATCGTTTTCTAAAATAGCCCTCATAATAGAAACTGCAACTCACAGGCTGGGGAAAAAGAATGTATGGGTGTGTGATGGCAGCCTCATCCCATAGCTTCCATCCCCCAGGGGCCTGCTGTTAGGTGGAAAACATGCTTCAGCTGGGGGAGGGGTGAAGGAACCAGGGAAGGAGCAAGGAAGCCCGTGTTTTCAGATGGAAAACCTGAAAATCTGTGGTTCTTCAGTCTGTACAAACATTATTGGGAGGTATCTGCCTTTGATGGGTTTAATCACTCATACATTCATTTATGAACAGGTGGGCCAGGCACCTGGTTGATTAGTGGTGGTTCTAAGGTGTGTAAACACAGAATCTGCCCATGGGATGCTTATCATCTGCTAATGAGGAAGAATGTGTAAGCAACAACTAAGAAGACAAGGCCACTTTGCTGTGTGCTGTGAAATGAAGATGTGAGACTGGGGTTCACTGTGGCAGAAAGGCTGTGTGTATGTGTGTGTGGGGGGGTATGTGTGGTGTGTAGTGTGTGTATGCAGGGGTTGTGGTTGGTGTGCGAATGTGTGTGCAGGAGGTATGCATGTGGGGTGTGTGGTGTGTAATGCATGTGTGGTGCGTGTGGAGGATAGCAGGTGTGTGTATATGGTGTGGGGTGTCTGTGTGGGGTGTGTGTGTGTGGTGTGTAGAATATGTATGTGGGGGATGTGGTTGGTGTGTGAATGTGTGTGGATATGTGTGTGGGAGAGATATGTATGTGGGGTGTATATGTGGGGTGTGGGGTGTGTGTGGTGTGTAATGTGTGTGTGTATGGTGTGTGTGGGAGTGGTAGGTATGTGGATATGGTGTGTGGGGTGTGTGTATGGTATGTGTGTGGTGTGTAGTGTGTATGTGGGGGTGTGGTGGTGTGTGAATGTATGTGGATATGTGTGTTGGGGAGGTATGGATGTGGGGTGTGTATGTTGGAGGGGGG